ATCTATGTGAAGAATGACTATACTTTTTGGGAGGAAAAGTATGTCTAGAATATAAAGTCTCTTCAATAATACAGCCTTCTATTTGAAATTAAAATGGTGCTTTACCCATAAATATGGAAACAGATAGATGGTAGTGGGCATGTAGTCATTTAGGAGGGGAATTTACCAGTTTGTCTTTAGGTTACTTCAGTGCCTTTTCAGGAACTCATAATACTTTCTTATCTATTATTTTAATTGTGGAGAGAGGCAGGTATTACTATCTTTATTGATGGAGAATAGAGAGGTAAAGTAATTTGCTCAAAGGCCTGTACCTTTGAGATGGAGAGGGACTGCAACCCTGTGTGTGTGTGTGTGTGTGTGTGTGTGTGTGTAAGTTCTGTCACATACTCACAGGGGACACTAATGAGCATCTATTCCATCCCTTCCAAATGACTGCAGTCCTAGGACATAAGAACAAAGTACAAATTTTTCACCATCTTAAAAATGTTGAAGGCCACTGCATTGGACTATGGTGCCTTTAGTAAATTAACATCCTAGTGCTTTAAATTCAAACCCAATTAGCTTGAAAGCAGTACAAGGCAAACATCTACCATGAGGTCAATGGAATTTAAAGAGAATTGGGCTAATGGCAGAGCAAGCATAGTGATGGGGTAAGAAAAGTTCATCTTTGATATCTAACTTTGGCCACCCCAAACATGATTTTCAATCTAAGCTCTAAGTCCTGGAATGCTGTGTACTAAAATGTTCTTGCCTGCTTCACTAGATATAAGGAATAACCTCTTCATCACCTCCAGACCTTTAAAAAGAAAAAGTCTTTGGCCTAAATGAATCAGTGCTGACACTTTTAAAGTGATTCATCCCAGTAAAAGATGGAGAATTTATGATTTTAAAAACAGATCGCTGGAGTGCTGACCTAAAAAGATACAAGTACAGCACAGAATGTAGGTCTGATGAAGCTATGCCCATGGTCTTTTATCTTCACTTGCATACAGACATCTGTTAGGATAGGTACTGAAGTTAATGGTTTTGGGGTTTTTTTGTTCACTTATTCAATGCTTATTAAAAAAAATCTGCAGGCACTTTTATTTATGCCCGAGTTTTTCACTGAGTTGAGTACCTAGCTCATGACGTTTCGTTCTACCCCGGCCCCCTTCCTCATCCTTAGAGACTTCAATACTCATCTTAATGGTCCCTCTAGCAATATGATCTCTTAATTTCTCAAACCCTTCAACTTCAAAAACCTACACTCTGCTTCAGGCACATGCAATACATTTTAGAACTAACCATTTCTTAGAATTTGTATCACTTTCAAGATCCAGAAGTTACAAAGTTCCATTCTAACCACAACTCCCTACCCTTCCAATCTCTTTCAGTCTCACATTAAACAGCTTCCTCATCCTTATTGTAAACCACTCCGGTTCTTCTACTCTACCTCTTGATTCTGGTTTTTATTTGCTTCCATACCCACCCTTGACCCTCGTGATTTGCCATTTTAATGTCTCACTAGCAACTAAGTGCCTTGGGACATACCTTTAGCTGAGCCCTTGTGGCTGCTCAATTTTTCATCCTTATCAACCCCTTATTTTATTTCCAACAGCAACTTATTCCATCTCTCCTTTTGTTATTTAAATGCACCTCTAGAATTCCTACTTATTGGGAGTGACCTACCCTTCTAATTCACTGAGATTGAAGACATTCGACAGGGGCTTCCCTCAACTCTGCCACACTTCTTCCATCTCCCCTTCTTCATTTCTCAAACTTTCTCAGTGTGGTACAGTAGGCGTGCAGTCAGAGGACCACGTTGCAAAACCTCATTCTGCCACTTACTACCTGTGTGCCTTCGGGTGAGAAACTTACATTCTCTTACATAGCCTATAAGGTTCCTTCTAGTTCTAAGTCTGTGACCCTATGATCCCTGCAGCCTCTGGGAGGGTTCTTTCCCTTTGTGATAAGAGATATCCCTACTATTCATTAAGTGGCACCCTTAACTTCTCTAAAGCTAATCCCTTTTCCTGTGTTTATCTCATTCCTTCCCACCTCCTCCAGAACTTTGGTTCATCAGTCATCTCTCCCTTACTTCTCACATCTAATCAATTACCAGGTCCTGATAATTCCATTTCCATAATATTTCCTGCATCTATATCCCCTGATTCCAACCGATTCTACCCTTTTTTAGGCCCTCAATGCCATCTACATTACTGAAATATTATTATTGCACTTATCAAATGAGATGATAAAAAGAACTTTGTAAACCTTAAAGTGACATTTGTGTTAGATCTTATCAAGAATTTGTTTACATGTCTTCCCACTTCCAATCTCACCTCAATACTACTGCCAGAATAACCTTTCTTGCATATAGGTCTGATCATGCTACTCTGCTAAAAAAATCTTTAGTGACTCACTATGCATCATGAGTTTCTTTTTGTCTGACATTTAAGGCCCTCTACAAACTGGACCCACCCTACCTTTATAGTACCCACCATGCATGCTACAGTTCAGCTCAACCAGACAACTCTGTTTCTTGAACACACATTGAATTCTTATACTTCCCAGGCTTTGATCGGGTTATATGTTAAACCACCTAGCTGTGGGTCTCTACAAACTATCTCTTGGTTTCTGCATCTAGAAAATGGAGTTTTTCATACTTTCTCCACACTACCTTATGCATGGAATCTCCTCCTCCCTCCCCATCTTCATCTGTTGTACTCTATTTGAATTGGGTACCTATTCTCTAAAACCCAACTCAGACACCATCTCCTTAGGAAGGGTTCTTTAATCCCCCTCCTCGCAGTTGGTAAAGACATCTCTTGGACTTCACATAGCCCTTTACTTTACGACTTTTAAAATATACTCATGCTATAATATTGCGTATTAGTGAATAATCCCTCTACTAGACTGTAAGCCCCTCAGAGACAGGGACCATATCTTACCTAAACTTGGCATCTTCTTTAGTACCTAGGAAACTGCACAGCAGGGCCCTAGTAAAAGTTTGTTGGCTGATATTGAAGCACATAGGCTAAGGAAATTAGGTGGAAAAGGGATATCAAAATGAGATCATCAGAAGTAAGCGAAGATATACCATTACAAAAAAGAATGCTGGACCAGAATAAATAGATCTGACTGCGGGTCTGTGTCTTAGTTTCTACATCCAGAAAACAGGTTTTATCATTTGTTCTTACCAACATCCTTGCAGGAAGTGGTAGAGGTACAAGAGATGGTACATATTCATGCAATCAACTAATTAATCAATAAATTATGAGCTCAGCTTTGTGTAGGATACCAAAGCATTATAATACAGAATCTGATCTCCATTAACTTGCATTTTGAGCATCTCAGAAGAACAACAGCACCTGACATTTATACAATGCTTCTGTGTTTATAAAATGTTTTTCATTCAGTACCTGTTGGAGCCTCACAACAATTCTATGAGGTAAGTACTTTGATGTTATCTCTCCTGGGTTATTACCTCTACTTTACAGATAAGGAAACTAAGGCTCAGAAAGATATAGCATTTAAATTCAGGCAATATGGTTAATATTATTATTGCTGATCTGGCCAAGTAAAGGTTTAAGACTTCAAGCCCAAGATCACAAGTCCCAAGTTGTTAGAAAACCTAATACCCTTTTACCTTTTACCACCTGTAAGATGTAAAAGTCTGGTTGTTGTACAATAATATTTAAGATTATTTCATAGTCCTAGAAGAAAATAGTCTATAAATGTAAAATTTAATTTATTTCTAATGACCAAAAGAGATCAATTTCTCTGACATACTCTGTGGGCTCAAACTGACAAAGGCTCTTTCAACTTCTTCCTACATTTCTACATACTTCTCCTACATTCCTAATCTCTGTGGAAATAAAAATAATTTTGTCACATGGTTTAGAGAAGGGGTTCTTAACCTTTTTTGTATCATGGATCCTGTGGCAGAGAGGTGAAGCTACGAACACTTTCTCACAACAGCACTTTTAAATACATAAAATAAAATACAAAAGATTACAAAGGAAACCAAGTATATTAAAATATAGTTATCAAAATATATTTTTTAAAAGTTCATGAGCCACAAGTTAAGAACCCTTGGTTTATTTTGTTATTGTTTAATTCCTAAAATCATCATCATCTGTTTATTCTAGGAAACTAAGAAAATGATTTAGAAAACTCCAGAGTCTCTTTCTCAATTGGATTTTACATTGCTTAAAACAATAAAATATTTGTTTGAAGTACAGACAAGCATATCTTTCTCTTTAGACACCTCAGAAATGGTGAACTGGGAAAAAAATGAGACTTTGATGGAAATTTAGTCCAGAAAGCTTTTATAAACACCATTTTGTTTAAAAGGAAATAATTTCCTTTCAAAGTCTAGGAAAAGTTGGTTTTAATCCTTACAAACGAAAGATTTGCTTTATTAGAAGAAGCCAGACCATTACTCCCAGAGTTCATTAGGGTCAATCTGTGGAATGACACTGCCACCTGGTGGCTAGCCCTTCCACAGCATGCTATATGAAAGGGGTGTGAGCAACGGATATAATGTTGGTTATACACCCTCTGTGTGGAAATAACTATTTGATGAATAATTCGATCTACAAATAAAGAGGAAACTAAACTCAAAGCATAATCCTTCATACAGAGAGGCTTGTTCTAACAGTGGCCTCATATTGGGAAAAAAATTAACGTGTAAGCTGAATAAAAGGTATTTCCTACCTACTCACTTCTCTGTACAGTATGTACTACATTATACAATGAAAAAAATTGACTGTACATAAAAAGTCCAGGACATTTTATTTCATAGTAGTATACACACTTAAAAAATGCAGAAACATTTAATTTAACAACACTTGACATTAGGAGAACCTTGTTTCGCTGGAATTCTGAAAGTCCCTTGGAAATCATCAATTAAAAAAGTTTTCTTTTTACATTGTAGTTTTTTTCATGGCTGCTTGTGTGACACTGAAGAGATATGCTTCATTGATTATATTTAAGAAATTGTCATCATTCTGGAAGACAAAAATCACAAGACACAATGGAATATGACACAATTTCTAGAGAAAGAAAGGCTCCTCCATTTGGGGGCTGAATAGGCTTGGGTTTCAAAAAGAGAAGATACTACACTGGCATCCATTTCTAGACAACAAGATGCTCAGCTCTCTGCCTGTCTCTCCTATCCAGCTAGAAGTTTTAATTGCACAAGTAAATGCTAAAGTGCAGTTAGAGACCAGGCTGGGCAGTCAGGTTCTGGTTGTCAATGTTCAGTGTGACAAGCAGTAAGACAATGTCTTGTGTAATACGGTGTCACGTGGCAACATCAGAGTAACTCATGGAAGCTTCAGTTTGTTGCATGAAATAGATGGATGAGCTGAGACGAAATGACTGAGGTCCACAATTAGAATCTGGGGACTGTTGGTGGTCACTGAAGGGCTCCCAGGGAATTCATATATTAAATTCTTATAATAGCCATGTTCACAATATGGCATAAATACGTTTGCTTCTGGCAAGAATTAATAATTTAGCTTTGGCATCCTCACTGGTATCTTATCAAAAATAGTACTAACCTTTCCATTCATTCTAGCAAAATAGGCATAGGTAGAGTGGCTTGACTGTGGGTCTTCTGCCCATCTGAGGGATTTATAGTCTAAATCAGAGGTTCTCATAAGTTTTCATTTTGGGACCTCTTTCCTCTCTCAATCCTTTGGCAACACTAACATTTAACATCACTCCAAACAAAAAGTGTGGCAGTTTCCATGCAATTAAGCAGAGCAATAATCTTTAGGTTCTTTTATTTAAAAAATCAAAACCTAATTTTCACTTGATCATCCAATTTAAAGAAATAAGGAGAGGGGCGGTGCCAACAGTAGAGGGAGGCAGGGGAAAGGGGCAGAGAGTCCTGAAAGAGAAGGAAGTATTTTGTTAGATGTCAGAAAGATGTTGTACTCATGTATTATATCCAGCCTGTGATAACCTTCTTTAAGAGAAACACTGGTCTACATCCCAAACATTTTAGGAGTCTTGGGTTCTGTAATGAGATGTTCCTTAGGCTAATGTGATCTCAATGGAGTGAATCAGAATGGCATATAAATAATTTTATTTCGAAGTTAGTTTTCATTATTTATCTTTCATTTTAAAAATCTGGTTGTCAATGGAAATCTCCCTTCCTACATTCCTATGTGTTCCTCATGAATAGATTACACAAGGAGATAATATTTTTAACTTGATATTTAAGTAAAGAGTCTATAAAGTATAATTAACCCCTTAGTATCTAATTAGTTATATAAATTTATGCTTCTATATTCAACTGCAACCTCCTTTTTTCTGATTTCAGAGCCTTAATTCTCTTATCTTCTCTAAAATGTTTCTGTGTCTTTCCAAACAGTCATTACTAATAGATCATCGGAAAAAATAAAATATTTTGCTTTTTTAGTAGGAAAGGACAAATTTAGCAATGCTAAAATCAGGATAAGGCCTTCTAAGAATCATCTGGTACTTAGACAAATTACCACAATAATCCAATATATTAAAATCACGTATCTGAATCTGAAATCAGTAGTCAAAAAGAATTCAACTTCCCTAGCCTAAGCCTATTTTCTCAATTTTTATTTCTTTTGACAATATTCTTCCAGTGACTCAGGTTCAAAACCTGAGGAATCTCTGATTATTCCTTTTCTCCTGTGCTCTCTACACGCAAAGTTTCCAAATCCACTTGATTCTACCTCTATAAGTATCTTGTAACTGTTGCTACTCTGTATTCATGTAGCTGCTGCTTTGGTGCAGATCCTGATTGTCACTTCTTCTAACAGGGTGTCTTGACCTAAGTTCCTCCTGACCTAAGTCTCTTCTATCTCCACAAAGCTACCCAAATAATGTTCCTGATAACAGGTTTCATGGTTCATGGTTCATCACTTTTCTGCTCAAAAATCTTCATTGGCTCCTGACTGCCTATGGGATAAAATAAAAACTCCTTCATCTGGCTCCAACTCCAGTCTTATTTCACATTACTGTACCTCTTTATACACTGTTCTCCAATCACAATGGAATAATAGCTGTTTTCAATCTCATTCTGCATGTAAGACATTTGTGTATTCAAGTAGTCAGTGTGCCATTCTATATACCTGTAATGCACTCTATCCCTCATCTCTTCATACTAAAATTCTTCTCTTTCTTCAAAGCTCAGCTAAGGGGCCACTTATTCCTTCACTGATCATCCACAGTTCAAAATTTCCTAAAGTACTTTGGAGTTCTTCTTTGCCCTATTCCATTTTGTAATATACTTATTTGTTCATGTGTCACACCTCTCCAACTACCAAACAGCAGTCTAAAAGCTCCAAGAGAAGAAAGGAGAGGCATTTTTTTTTGTTTCTGTATTCTTAGCACCTAATACAGCTTGTTGTACTATTATGTAGTTAATAAATGTCTGCTAAGTTGATGGAATTTTTCTTGAAAACTATTTTGAATTATTTGAGAAAGGTTACCAAATTGTTAATATCTTTTGATCCAGCTATCTCACTGACTGAGTTTATACTCCAAGGTCAATGACAGAAAGAAAGGTCCCATATGAACTAAACTACTCACAATAACATTACTTGTGATAACAAAAAGCTGGAATAAATTATGTTTTCAACAATCAAGACGTGGTTGAACAAAATGTGGTATTTGAGTGTAACGGAATATCAGCATGTGCACGTGAAAGTACATCAGGACTCTAGAGTAGTAATCTTCTCAATGATTCTCAATTTAGAAGTGGACAGGGAAATGGATATGTTGCAAATGCTCACCAAGGTAACAGATGAATACATCAAAGTCAATTTTTTCCTGTTATGATACATGATATTTATCTGCTTCATGTTTCATCTTTTATAGCCTTAAATTGCTGGTTACTTTTCTTTTCCCTTGCTTTCTTTGACTATTCCTTTTCCCTTTCCTTGTACCTCAAAAATTATAGAAATAAATGCAGTATATTTAAAATATTGGGATAACCCTCTTGCCTTTCCCAAAACTTTCTACAAAAGAAATATGTGATGTCTAGAGGTGGTGGGGAGAATGGAGAACTCACACAAATAGAAAAGGGATTACCTATCCATGACAATGTTCTCCAGACGCTCCTGTTTCCAGATAACATTGCGCTGATTGTACCAAGCCCCAGACCACTTACAGGGTTTCCTCAATGAGATCCACAGTCACTCAGAAGAGATTGGCCTAGTCATCCATACTGGAAAAATAAAGTGGATGAAGAAAGCATATTGCCCAAATGATGACATGCAGTTGGATGGCCATTCTACTGAATTGGTCCATTAGCATATCTAGCTTGGCCAGATGGGAAGTCACCTAGCCCCAGAACTAAATAGGAGAAAGAAAATAGGTTGGGTCACATTTGGGAAAATACATAGCACTTTCACTAATCCCAAGCTGTTTGCAACTTCAAGTTCATCTCTATTATCAATATGGATTTGGAGTTATAAGTCTAAGGGTTCAAATCATGGCAGTGCCACCTGTGACCAATGACTAGTTGTTGAACCTTTCTGTGTTTCAGTATTCGTATCTGTAAACTGATGGGATTGGACTAGATGAACTCCAAGGTTCCTTCTCATTCTATATCTATAATCCTATGATCATACTGCATTATAAGAAAAGATGAAGATGAAGATGAAGACTTCAGAGAAACATAGGAAGGCTTTCATAAACTGAGGCAGAACACAGAGAGAAGAACCAAAAGAACAATGACTACAATAATGTAAAGGAAAGAAACACTAAAATGTTCCACAGAATTCAAGTAAAATATAATGGCCAAAGTGGATTCCAGATGACTGAGGTTAAAACATTCTTCTCTCCTTTCTATTAAGAAATGTTAAAGTATAAGTGGAAAGCTACATCTACTGTCAGTCACAGTTGCATAGTTATATCTAACATGTTTTTTATAAGAAGGCATCAGGGGAGGGAGCTGTTTATTGAGAAGTGACTGATGTGTCAAAACAAAATGTATCAAGATTTTTTTTTTTTGGTGAGGCAATCGGGGTTAAGTGACTTGCCCAGAGTCACACAGGTAGTGAGTGTTATGTGTCTCAGGCCAGATTTGAACTCAGGTCCTCCTGACTTCAGGGCCAGTGTTCTATCCACTGCGCCACCTAGCTGTCCCCAAGATTTTATTAAAAAACAAACTGAGTTTTATTTTTTGGCAGGGGGAGGCAGTAGGAGGTAAGATGAATACACCTGTTGCTGATAGTTGTAAGATCAGTTGTTTGCATGATGACATAGAAAACCATACATATACATATATCCTTGGATAGATGATAGATAAGGGACTGTCAATGGAACCCCTCATTACCTTCTATGGCATCATTAACCAGGTTCAAAATAAACCATAAAATGCATACTTAGAGGTATTTTAAAAATAGTTATATAAGCCATATAGATTCCCTTACTGTCTTTGGCTATTTTTTTCCCCTTTCCTTATGCCTCAAAGGTTGTAGAAACAAACGCAGTAAATTTAAAATACTGGAATAATTCTTTTGTCTTTCCCACAACTTTCTACAGAAGAAATGGGTGGTATCTAAAGGTGGTTGAGAGATAAAATAGCAAAATGCCCTACCCTAGGACTGGTTTGTCACGAATAGCACACTGGAATTTGGAAAGGAAGTCTGTAAGTCACTTACCTATAAGCAACTAGGTAAAAAAAAAAAGCGAACGACAATTTCTGAAAGGTTTTATACGGTATTTGACTCACTCCATTTAGGATCACACTGATCTAAGGAAGCCCCCAGGGTACAGGGAGACATTTACTTGTTTCCTATTTCTTCAATAACCTGCCACTTTCCTTAGCTTACTATGTGTAAGGTAGATTTATGCCTCATTTGTTTCCTACTCACGATCTCTTCTTAAAAGTGCCCTTTGAAAATGAGAATCATGTGAGGAGCTATCTCCTGGCCAATCTCAATATGTTTTTGTTCTTTCTTTGAAGGCTTTTATCATTCCCCGTAATCTAAAACATCCTTTGTGAACTGGGATGCTCCGACAATAAAAATCATAAATATTATTGAGACGCATCTCCGTAAGGAACATCACCTTCTGAGTCTGACAGGCCATCATAAAACTACATTGTTTTCAAAGAATTACTAAGCAGGTTCTGGCCAACTCTGCTTTCTGTCTAGAAACCAGTCTAAGAAAACTAAAACCACACAACTGATATGGTTAAGGTATTTTAAATGTCAGAAAGAGGACAGAAGATTTATAGCCCTCTCCTCACCTGGATGAGGTGCAGAAGTGTCTCCTGAAGCTGCAGCTTGGTCAGTAAGTTGTTGTTAACCACAGAAGTCTCCGGGTTCTGGAGAGGCAGAAGAAGGCTGGCAGAAGCCGCACTGGGTTCTTTGCTTCCTAGTGGCAACAACCCACTCTCACCAACCTTGGGCGAGGAAGGTGTAGGCTGAGAGAACACCATAGGGGACATCAGCAGGGAAGGAGCCACAGTAGCAGGAATGCGTTGAGGTGAGATGACCTGCTCATGCCAAAACATATACACAAAGGGCAGGGATTAGGCAATGCACTCAAAGAAGCGAATGCAGCAGAGAGAAAGATTTCTAAGGCCTTTTAACAAAAGATTCTGAGTATTCTTTGCTCAGGGCAGCTAGGTGATGCAGTGGTTAGACAGCCAGGCCTGGAGTCAGGAAGATTCATCTTCCTGAGTTCAAATCTAGCCCAAGATGACCCTGGGTGAGACACTTACTTTGTCTACCAGTTTCTTAACTGGTAAAATGAGCTGGAGAAGGAAAAGGCAAACACTCTAGTATCTCAGTATCTAGTATCTCTGCCCCTAAATGAGGTCATGAAGAGTACTTGTTCATGACTGAACAACAATAAATTCTTTGCTCACTAAATGAGTAAAAATAAATGAATCACAGACCTAGAGCTGAATGTTATCTGAGAGGCCATCTAGTTCTTACCACCCTGTAACTTTTACAGATAAGGAAACCGAGGCGCAGGGAGGTTAAGTGACTTGCAAAGGTCCTCTGATTTAGGAGTAAGCACACTTTCCACTATGCCATAGTTACCTCCTCTGCTTAATACTGTCACTGTAAGAAGCAAGCACCTACGGAAGGCTGCTGTGTTTTCTGTTTCACTTGGCAGAACAGTACTTTAAAAGCAGAGTTTAAATCCTTGTAATGTAGGAGGGGCATGATGGCTTTCTTCAAGGATCTGAAGAGCTCCTTCACAGAAGTGGGAATAGATTTATTCTGTTTACACCCAGAGAAAAACCAAAGAGCAACAAAAGGCTGAAGGTTGCTGATTAGCAAATACTGCCTTAATTTAAGGAATGACCTCTTCTTCACCACAACAAACTGACCAGAAGCATACCCTGTCAGTGCGGGCAGTTCCAGTAGAGGCTGGGTATTCTGGCTCTGGGATGGGTTGAACTAAATTACTTTCGAAGGCCCTGACAACTTGGAAGTTCTGTGATTCCTGATTTGGTAGCATACATGCTAGTACAGGACAATGGTAAGGACAGTCCCCCAATATCTCAGCTAGTAGGTGAATGGGAATATATTTTTTAAATGGGGTATGATGCTAGCAACCCAGATGATACTGCGATTTTGTACTTCTCATACAGCTTTTTCTTGAGCAGGGCATAGGTCCATAAATTTTAATTGATAACACTGAGAGAAAAGAAAGAAACATCCCTGAAGGTTAGAGTTACAGCTCTGTTTAGAGTATGAGTTGACACAGTGTAAGCTTTCCTTAATCAACTGTTTATACCATGGATACCAGGGAGATTGACTAGGAATTATCTGTGCTGTTTTACTAAGTGGACTGTTAGGTACCTACAAAACATAGCTCATAGTCTACCAATTGCTACTGAAATAAGAACTTTGCATAGAGAAATTTAAGTCAAATAACTAACCTCAATTTCTCCCAAATCACAAAAAGAAAGCAAGCACAAACATAAATGAAAACAATAATACACAGGATCAAGGTGCGTTAAAATAGTTTTTAAAGAGATTTTAATAAGTAGGACTATGAGAAAGCTCTTGCTTCATGCAGTTAAGGCAAAAAGGACTTAAATTTTCATATCTACGACTTTAATTTTCAAAGGTAGAAAGGTTCTTAAGGAAACTTTTGGTACAAATTCCAAGAAGTTACAAATGGACCTGTGAAAACAGTGGTTATCACCAAGAAGAAGAAAAAAGCTCCTGATTTTTAAACTTGGTTAGATCTTATGGTGCGTTCAAGGTGCAGTATGTTATTTATTCAGTCCATGGAAGGTGTGTTTACTTCTGTTCTTGCAAAAATAGCAAACATTTCTGGACTATGAAGTTTATTAGTTCATCTACTTTCATGAATCTTCTTTCATAAAGAATTTTTAAGAATATCATAATCTTAGTATTATTTTAAATGTCATTGTGCTAACATCTTAAAGATTTATTCATTTGTGTGTCTTAGACTTCAGGCCCTGTAAAAATAAGAATGCCTAGCTTTTCCACCTTGTTTACAATTATCTGGAAAAGAGAAAAAGCCCCAAGGTTGCTGGGCAAAGAGTCCCTTCTGGGATAAGAATGTCAGGTATGACAATAGGTATGAAAAAAGCTTTTGCAAGTCTACCCTCAATAAGTAGAAATGGTATGTCAGGCACTGTCGTATAAGTAGAATATGCTGATCCTGGAAGAGATCTTGGTTCAAATTCTATATATTTCATAGCTTTGTGACCATAACAAAGTATTTCATCTTTCTCAACTTCAGTTTTCCTATCTGTAAATATATAAGTAATAGTGGATACTTAACCTATAGAACTATAAATATCAAATGAGATAATGAAAACAGTCTAAAAATTTTAATGCCAATTATATTATTGTTGTTGATGTTGTATGTTGCACACAGTGCCTTATAGTACAGAAACTTCTAACAATATTAAGATTTAGGGAACCACCAATTAGCCTTCTTATTAAATTATAAATTTTACTGCACTGCATTTTAATAGCTCTCCAACTCAGCACAGTAGCTCCTTTGACCCAACCTATTTACCTGAAAAAGAGGGGTCTGTTTTTCTGTACTAGATGTCTTGTCAATCCAGGCTTCCAAGGGTTTCAGAGTCCTAGCATTCTGGGTAACTACAGGAAACTTGGCGGCTAAGGCAGGTCTGTTAGATGCATGCAGCTGCTGCTCCTGCTGTACAATCTGCAGCTTTTTCAGCAACTCTTGAGGAGAGATCACTCCAGAACTGCTTGTTTGGTTGCCAGAGATAGGGAGGGTTTGCCTTGAAACTTTAGACTCTTCTTTTCTAAGAGTCTGAGGCCCCAAAGTCTGAGATGGAAGAGAGCCATTGAAGTATACCAGCTGTGGCTGGCCCATACTCTTTATCTGTGCTGCAGGGGCAGCAGGAGTAGAATTCCCACTGAAAATTTGTGCAGTTGAACTAGTAGGCACTGATGTACTGGACTCTAACTTGCTCACTGACCCAGGGGTACCCTGAAGTTTCTCTAAAAGGCCCTGAGCTCCAGATGTACTTTGTACTTTGTGAGATGTCCCAATGCTATGTGGGGTCACCGGCTGGAAAAGACCAGTGAAAACCTCTCCTACAGGGTGAACACTGCCATTTTCACACAGCCGGGTTTCAGGCAGCTCTGACACTGGATGGAGATCTGTGCCCCGGACCATGAGTTTCTGAATGGCTGGACAAAGCTGCTTCTCTGGAGTTGGTGAATTTCTTTTGGGTTCTTCATAGGAAAGTGAACGTACAACCCTTTGTCTGATGGGAGGTTTCTCTTGTTGCTGCTGTGGTGCTGGTGGTAGCAGTTGTGATTTCTGTTCTGTAACTTCCTGATAAGCAGCTTTATCTGGTTTTCCAAAGAGTGTGGTCAAGGATAAGTGTTGTGGTTCAGGATCTAAGTTCTATAGAAAAAAGATGGGAATTATTAACAATAGTTATGGATAATCTGAATATAAGGTGGTTGTGAAAAGAGATTCCAGTTATTATATCTAACTATGAAGATTAGGAAGGAGAAAAGGCTCTATTTTACCAAATACTATAAATGTCAAAGAGGAAGCAACTATGTAAACAGTAAATTCATCCAAAGCTTTGAGCCCCACAGGCATGTTTAGGAACTCTGGAACTCCTAGAATAACAGAAACTTTTTTCTTCAATATTTTAATGAGTCTGTGAATTTATAAGTCTTGGGTAACCCCTCTATCACTGCAAATCACAACTCCGCTGATGCTTTAGCCCAGTGATTTCAAGTATGACCTTTTAAAGATCAAAACATCTTGTAGACTTTCACTTGATGGTAGTTGTGATAAAAATCATCTATGAATTTAGTAATGCTTTTAAGTGAATCTTCATTTTATTAATCACAACAGTGTAAGAAGTGACAATCTCACAAAATTTTAAAGTTTGCTATTTACATATATTATCTCATCTGAGCCACGGGCTTTTGTTCTGTTTTGTTTTGTTTTTTTGTTTTACAGATGAGAAGCTCAAACAGATTACATGATCTCCCTATGGTCATAAAGCTTCTAAGTGTCACTCATTCACTAAGTCATGTTGCCTCAGTATTCACATACATTTGAAAAATGTATAAATATATGTGCAATACATTATTTAGTTAGTCTACATTAGGATATGAGATAAGAAGTCACTTAACCTCTCAGTGCTCCAGTCAACTCTCTAAGACCTTAAGTGGCAAAGAAGGTATTGACTCGCACTGGTAGAGGAAGTTACCTCTTCTAGGAGTTGCCCATACCAGTGAAATCATAGAGTCAGTCCCCATCCCCTACAGAGGATATGTTTTCTTTTTGATTACATGAGTCAGATTGTGTTGAAGCAAAAGCTAGATCAAAATTATGGTTCTTGGTGCTCATAATATGACTCATGGATCTCTTACAATAACTATGTGGCCTCCCTGGGGTCCTCAGCCCATAGGCTGGGAATAAATGCCTCAGCAGATTCTTGATGAGATGCTATGGCTATTGCCTTTCAGTGACCCTGGTGAAGAACAACCTCTTTACATTTAAGCTGGTCCTTCAGATGAAAGTCATATACATGATATTTATAATTTTATAAAGTGCTTAGTACAATGCCTGGCATATAGTAGGTGCTTTTAAAAACAGGCTTGTTCCCTTCTCTTCCCTCTCTGTTACTTGAAACCTTACTAGCTTTGTAGGGCTTACCAGAGCCTATACTTTACTGGAAGACTTTCAAGCTATCACTACAAGGTACCAGAAAACTTCAGTGGATAACTTTTAGCTTCAAGCAATGATCCTTTTTGTAATTCACAAACAGTTTTTTAAAATATGCTGGCTGTTCTACAATGACAGTGTCATTACATTCCTCTCCCCACTATTCCTTCTCTTTTTCTACTGTTTCCCATACCCACTAAGGTAAGAGTGCAGAAGCTTTAACCTAGAATCAACACATATTTGGGTTTCTCTATCAAGTGAATTTGCTAATTGCTAAATATTCTTTATTGCTGCTTGCTCTCCTTTCCTGTCTATTTCTTCTCTTAAAGAAAAAGAACTGTTTTTTCATTATTAATATACGATTTCCATCCTATCTAAAGGGATGGAAAAGACAAGAAATAATTAATTATAAAATTACTTTAGATTCTGAAATCCTTGAGGGCAGGAATCATGTTTGTGGTGATCATGTCAATATCTATAATAATATTTGTCTATGTGACAGATGAGTAGCAGCGAGCACTAAATAAAGGCTTTGTTGATTGTTCCTAAGCAAACAATTTCAGTGGCTACTTAATATGCTACTCACATCAATTTCTTTGACTAGTTTGAATAGATTATTTATCCTTCTCTACATTAAAGAGGGAATACAGGTTCACAGAAGCCTCAAGGTGATAGGTTCGGTTGCTACTACCTTTGCCAGTAATGCAAATTACATTTTGAGGAAGTCTGCTCTAGAATTTTTTGGTTAAAAAATGTAGCAAAACACTCAAAATAGAAAGACTTTTTACTGTATTGATTTATTAGTTTTGTATTTACCTTTTACATAAAACAAGATTGTATTAGTAAGAAAATATTTTAATAGACTAATTTGAAACCTCTTTCTCCTTCTTCTAACTCAAAGCATTCTTATAAAGTCCTAGTTTTGGGCCTTGACCATTCTCTCGGTACAAATATTATGTGAGTGCAAAGTATGCTGAAGTTGCCTAGTTTAGGAAATAGATGAAACAATGTACCTGGCCTTGTTGAGGGACACGCTGGTGTTGGCCTTCACCAGGCTTCACTGGAATTGGCTTTATCAGATTGGGGTTGTCGTAGATGGCAGATGAACTGGTTATCTGCTTTGGCTCAGAACAGGTTTTACACTGAAATGGAAAAAACACATTTTGGTGTTAAGTAATCTGAAGTCTTTCTTTTTTTTTTTTAAATTTTATTAATTTATTTTGATTTATCAACAACCACTTCCATATGCTTTTGAGTTTAAAATTTTTCTCCCCCTTCCTCCCCACCACCCTCCCCAAGATGGCACACAATGTCATACTGGCTATACATTTACATTCCTATTAAACATATTTTCACATTAGTGAAGTTGTAAGTAAAAATTAAAACCAATAGGAGGAACCATTAGAAAGAAAAAACAAAACTCAACAGAAGAGAAAAAAAAATGATAGTGATTCAACTTCCATAGTTCTTTCTTTGGATGTGGATAGCATTTTCCAACACGAGGCCTCTGGGGATGTCTTAGATCCTTATATTGCTGAGAAGGGTTAAGTTTATCAATATTAGTCATCGCACAGCATGGCTGTTATTGTGTACAACGTTCTCTTGGTTCTGTTCACTTCACTCAGCATCAGACTATACAAGTCTTTCCAGGTTTTTCTGAAGTCAGCCTGTTCACCATTTCTTATAGCACAACAGTATTCCATTACATTCATATACCACAACTTGCTCAGCCATTCCCCAATTGATGGGCATCCTATCAATTTCCAATTCTTTGCCACCACAAAAAGAGCTGCTGTGAATATTTTTGTACATGTGGGTCCTTTTCCCATTTGTATGATCTCTTTGGGATATAGCCCTACAAATGCTATTGCTGGGTCAAAGGGTATGCACATTTTTATACCCCTTTGGGCATAGTTCCAAATTGTTCTCCAAAATGGTTGGATCACTTCATAACTCCACCAACAATGCATTAGTGTTCCAATTTTCCCACATCTTCTCATTTTCCTGTTTTGTCATGTTGGCCAATCTGATAGGTGTGATGTGGTACCTCAAGAGTTGTTTTGATTTACATTTCTCTAATCAATAATGATTTAGAGCATTTTTTCATATGACTATAGATGGCTTTAATTTTTTTCATCTGAGAACTGCCTGTTCATATCCTTTGACCATTTATCAACTGGGGAATGGCTTGTAGTCTTATAAATTTGTCTTAATTCTCTATATATTTTAGAAATGAGGCCCTTATCAGAGAGAGTGGCTGTAAAAATTCTTTCCCAATTTTCTACCTTCCTTCTAATCTTATTTGCATTGGCTTTGTTTCTGCAAAAACTTTTCAATTTAACGTAATCAAAATTATCTATTTTGCTTTTTGTAATGTTCTCTATCTCCTGTTTGGTCATGAATTCTTCCATTCTCCATAGATCTGATAGGTAAACTATTCCTTGTTCTCCCAGTTTGCTTATAGTATCAGCCTTTATATCTAAATCATGAACACATTTTGACTTTATTTTGGTATACGGTGTGAGATTTAGGTCTATTCCTAGTTTCTGCCATACTCTTTTCCAGTTTTCCCAGTACTTTTTTTCAAAGAGTGGGTTCTTGTCCCAGAAGCTGGGGTCTTTGGGTTTATCAAATAATAGATTACTATAGTCACTGACTACTGTGTCTTGCACATTTAACCTATTCCACTGATCCACCACTCTGTTTCTTAGCCAGTACCAAGCAGTTTTGATGACTGCTGCTTTATAATACAATTTAAGATCTGGAACTGCTAGGCCACCTTCCCCTGCATTTCTTTTCATTAGTTCCTTTGATATTCTGAACCTTTCGTTCTTCCAATGAATCTTATTATTTTTTCTAACTCTACAAAATAATTTTTGGTAGTTTCATTGGTATGGCACTGAATAAATAAATTAGCTGAGAGAGGTAGAATTGTCATTTTTATTATATTAGCTTGGCCTACCCATGAGCAGCTGTTCCAATTATTTAGATCTGATTTTATTTGTGTGAAAAGTGCTTTGTAATTGTGTTCATAGAGTTCCTGGATTTGTTTCGGGAGGTAGACTCCTAAATATTTTATAATGTCTACAGTAAGTTTAAATGGAATTTCTCTTTCTATCTCTTGCTGTTGGGCTTTGTTAGTAATACATAGAAATGCTGATGATTTATGTGGGTTTATTTTATAGCCTGCAACTTTGCTAAAGGTGTTTATTATTTCAAGTAGTTTTTTACTTGATTCTCTAGGATTCTCTAAGTATATCATTATGTCATCTGCAAAGAGTGATAGCTTTGTTTCTTCTTTGCCTATTCTAATGCCTTCAATTTCTTTTTCTTCTCTTATTGCTAAAGCTAACATTTACAGTACAACATTGAATAACAGTAGTGATAATGGACATCCTTGTTTCACCCCTGATCTTACTGGAAATGCTTCTAGCTTGTCCTCATTACATATAATGCTTGTGGAAGGTTTTAGATAGATGCTATTTATTATTTTAAGGAAGACCCCATTTACACCTATGCTTTCTAGTGTTTTTAATAGGAATGGGTGTTGTATTTTGTCAAAAGCTTTTTCTGCATCTGACATGATCATGGGGTTTCTGTTTTGGTTTTGATGTTGATATGTTCAATTATGCTGACAGTCTTCCTAATATTGAACCAACCTTGCATTCCTGGTATAAATCCTACCTGGTCATAGTACATTATTCTTGTGCTAAGTTGCTGTAATCTATTTGCTAGTATTTTGTTTAAAATTTTTGCATCTATATTCATTAGAGAAATTGGTCTATAATTTTCTTTCTCTGTTTTGACTCTTCCTGGTTTGGGTATCAGCACCATATTTGTATCATAAAAAGAACTTGGTAAGACTCCTTCTTCACCTATTTTCGCAAATAGTCTATACAGTATTGGAATTAACTGTTCTTTAAATGTTTGATAGAATTCGCATGTAAATCCATCTGGCCCTGGAGATTTTTTCCTAGGGAATTCATTAATGACTTGTTCAATTTCTTTTTCTGAGATGGGGTTATTTTAGTATTTTACTTCCTCTTCTGTTAATCTGGGCAATTTATATTTTTGTAAATATGTATCCATTTCACTAAGATTGTCAAATGTGTTGGCATATGGTTGGGCAAAATAATTCCTAATTATTGTTTTGACTTCCTCTTCCTTGGTGGTAAATGAAATTATTGATTATTTCTATGATTTGTTGTTTGACCCAATCATTTTTTAGGATTAGATTTAGTTTCCAATTATTTTTTAGTCTATCTTTCCATGGCCCTCTATTACATATAATTTTATTGCATCATGATCTGAAATGGATGCATTTAATATTTCTGCCTTTCTGCATTGGATTGTGAGGTTTTTATGCCCTAGTACATGGTCAATTTTTGTGTATGTGCCATGTACTACCAAGAAAAAAGTATATTCCTTTCTATCCCCATTCAGTTTTCTCCAGAGATCTATCATACCTAACTTTTCTAACGTTCTATTCACCTCCTTAACTTCTTTCTTGTTTATTCTGTGCTTAGATTTATCTAGTACAGAGAGGGGGAGGTTGAGGTCCCCCACTAGTATAGTTTTGCTGTCTATTTCTTCCTGTAACTCGCTGACCTTCTCCTGTAAGAATCTGGATGCTATACCATTTCGTGCATATATGTTTAGTAACAATATTACTTCATTGTCTATGGTGCTTTTTAGCAGGATGTAGTTTCCTTCCTTATCTCTTTTGATTAGATCTATTTTTGCTCTTGCTTTGTCTGAGATCAGGATTGCTACCCCTGCTTTTTTTACTTCAGCTGAATTATAATATATTTTGCTCCAGCTTTTTACCTTTACCCTGTATGTGTCACTCTTTTTCAAATGTGTTTCCTGTAAACAACATATTGTAGGATTATGGTTTTAATCCACTCTGCCATCTGCCTTCCGTTTTATGGGAGAGTTCATCCCATTCACATTCACAGTTATGATTACTATCTGTGTCTTTTTCTCCATCCTTTTCCCCCCTTTATGCTTTTCTTTCTCCTTTCCCCCCCCACTAGTGTTTTGCTTTTGACCACCCTCCTTCAGTCCCTCCTCCCTTTATTATCCCTTTCCCTTTTCTTCCCCTTTACCTTACTGCTTCTTCCCTCCCTTCTCTCCCCCCTCCCTTTTCTTTCCCCTTTTCCCTCCTACTGCCTATAGGGCAAGTTAGATTTCTATACCTAACTGATTATGTTATTCCCTTCTTGAGCCAAATCTGATGAGAGTAAGGTTCAAACAATGCTCACCCCCCCTTCTTTCCCTCTGCTGTAATAGGATTTTGTACCTTTTCCTGTAGTGTAATTTACCCTTGTCTGCCTCCTCCTTTCTCAGTACATTTTCTAAGATCAGATATCCACTTATTTGGATCCATTTAACCCACTTGATTAGATTTTTTTTTATCATTACATCAAAGTCAACTAATATCCACCCCTTTATGTATACTCCTTTAACATGGTGAATAACAATACAGTTCTCAAGAGTTGCAAGTGTCATATTCCCTTGTAGGGATGTAAACAGTCCCCTTATTAACAACATATTGTATCTTTCTGTCCCATTTACCTTTTTATGTCTTCTTGAGTCTTACTTGAAGATCAAATTTTTTGTTGAGCTCTGGTCTTTTTATCAGGAAAGTTTGGAAGTCTCCTATTTCGTTGAATATCCATCTCCTCCCTTGAAAAATGATGCTCATTTTTGCTGGGTAGTTGATCCTTGGCTGCAATCCAAGCTCCTTTGCCTTATGGAATAGCATGTTCCATGCCCTGCGGTCTTTTAATGTAGAAGCTGCAAGGTCCTGTGTAATCCTGACTGTGGTTCCATGATATTTAAATTGTTTCTTTCTGGCTGCTTGCAGCACCTTCTCTTTCATCTGGTAATTTTGGAATTTTGCTATTATATTCCTTGGTGTTGTCAATTTGGGATCTCTTTCAGGTGGTGAGCGGTGTATTCTTTCTATGGTTATTTTCCTTCTGGTTCTAGGACTTCAGGGCAGTTTTCCTTTATGATTTCCTGAAAGATACTGTCCAGGCTCTTTTTTTCATCATGATTTTCAGGTAGTCCAATAATTTTTAAATTGTCTCTCCTGAATCGATTTTCCAGGTTGGTTTTACCAATGAGGTATTTTACG